CTCAGTGGCTAAGACGTTGAGCTTGTCAATCGAAAGGTCAGCAGTTCACCGGTTCGAATCCCTAGTGCCGTGTAACGGGGTGAGCTCCTGTTACTTGCCCCAGCTTCTGCCAACCTAGCAGTTCGAAAGCACGTAAAAAATGCAAGTAGAAAAATAGGGACCACCTTTGGTGGGAAGGTAACAGCGTTCCATGCGCCTTTGGCGTTTAGTCATGCCGGCCACATGACTATGGAGACATCTTTGGACAGTGCTGGCTCTTCGGCTTTGAAATGGAGATGAGCACTGCCCCCTAGAGTCAGGAACGACTAGCACATATGTTCAAGGGGAACCTTTACCTTTTTATATGCTAATACAAAAAAGTATCAGTATATATAGTACATATTTAGTTTTCATGTATAGGGAGACAGATCCAACATGATTGAAAAAACTAGGAGACATGCTAATTTGCTTCTGGACTCTAAAAAGAAACATCATAAGACATACCATTTGCAGAAACACCTACTTTGCATTTAGATGTGTTTTTCCTTTAGTGCAACATGGTGTACAAATAGTTCTTTCCGATTCATTAAAGATGCACAAATCACTTCCAGAAGAAAGGGGCACTGATATCTGGAATATTTCAGAAGTGTTTTAAATACCTCAATATCATTTTCTTCCTGCAGAAAGGCTACAGCTGAGTGGCAGTGAACAGTCTTGGCTCATAAAAACAATGTGTTTTTTTCCCAGGAACACAAGATTGCCTTACAATCCTGGAAAATATAATTAATTATAGACTGTTCTTTCTTTCATCCAAGTGATGACCAATCCCACTTAGCTTCTGAACCTAAACAGGGTAGGGTAGATGCAACACAACTGGTCTGCAACTTATGACTGGTAGCTTAACAACCTTTCAAAATTATGACAGACACCTCCCCCCCTCAAAAGCTATTTACAACCCATTTTCAAAGTTATGGTGGCCAGTGGCCATACATTGGCTCCCCTTTTTGGCTGTTTGCAGCATCCCATGATCATGTGACTGCAATTGGTGATGTCTTTGCCATGGTAACAAATGCTCATTGGGGAAAATTGATTTCCTTAGTGACTAATGTTTGCTTAACTGCCACAAAAAAAATGTAGAAAAATCAGGTCCAGTCACATAATTCCCTGGATAAATCAAATCTGCTTTTCCAGTGGACTCAAATTTATATGCTGAGAAGTGGGGAATAGGTATAGAAATAGTGTGTTGTGCATCCTTTAGAAGTGTGAGTCTGCATTTTAAAAATTTTGAGGACAACACTCCTTTCCAGATTCTGTGGGACCCTAATCTACTCCATCCATGTAGATTCCTACAACTTTCCTATAACTAAGTCAACATGGCACACTTACTTATGGCTAACTGAACTCAACCCAATTTTCTAGTTTTGAATGACAAATTCCAAAAACACCACTGATCCACAATTTAGTCAATATATTTTAGCCGAATAGCTGTGCATATTCAGTGTACATGAACAACTGGAAACATAGTCAAAGACAAGCCAGGAATGCTTAAAAAGGTGTTAACAAAAAGCGAAAAAACAGCTCTGATCCAGGAGTCAAATACCATGATCTGAAACAAAACCAAATGCAAATGATAATCCATCACTGAGTACTAAAAACTGAAGAGTTTGAAGCCACAGACTCCAGAACCATACCTAGGTTCCAGCTGCATGCTATAAAGTCAATCCCTCCATTGAAGAGGCTCTTATCTCACAGTAAGTCATCAGAAGATTTGTATCTCAACTTCTTCTCCAGTGGGTGTAAAATAGAGGTCTTCATACTTGGCAGCTTTAAGACTTGTGGACTTCAACTCCCAGAATTCTCCCAGCATAGCATAGCTGGCTGGAGAATTCTGGGAGTTGAAGTCCACAAGTCTTAAAGCTACTAAGTTTGAAGACCTCTGGTCTAAAATTTCATCTGCCCTTTATTTTCTATGGCTAATTACTCCTCTTCATTTCATCCTTAGAACCAAATATGGGTTCCTAGGTTACCTGAAGATCTGAGCTCAGAGTAATGGTTTTTAAGAGTCCCAATTCTTCAGGAAGTAGTTCAGAAGTTGCTGTCCCAGAGAAGAACACAGTCTTCTCTAGCAAGGTCATTACACTGTATTAAATACAGTACAATAGCTCCATAAAACAAGAGCAACCTGAAACTTGAAACCTTTCCAAAAATTTTGGGAAACGTTTGGGAGGAATACAATTCAAGCTGTGTCTAACTAGGGAAAAAAATGGAAGAATTAGGAGCCAAAATGTAAGAAAAGGAAATGGTAGCTGCTTCTGTGCAGCACATAAAAAGATACAGCTGCAGGAAAGGTATCAAGTTCCACAGCCACTTTGAATTTTCAAAAGAAACTATTCTGAAACATTCTTGGGAGTGTGTTCTTTCTTTTAAAAGAATAGAACCTGTTGGGAACAGGTTGCTATTTTAACTCAAGTCAACTTTTCAAAGGGAAATCAGCCAGTTATTCTAAACCTTGCTTCAATCTCTAGTGGAGAAGCTAAAATTTAATGACATTTTTCCCTGCACCAGCTGCGCATTTAGTGAGAAGGCTGATTGCCAGGCTCTTCTAACTGGAGGAGGCAGAAGTGTTCAGGTCTGATTTATTAAATCTCCGGATAAAAGACAAGATCATAGAAAATGATCTAAAGGTAAAAGCTGCCCAAAATAAGAAACACAAAATTGCCACAAAAGTGTGATTGGTTGATTGGTTGCCATAGGCTTTTCGCTCTTGTAAAAAAGCGAATATGTGATAGGCTTTACTGTATTGCCACCTACTGGGTAGTACTGAAATATCCAATCTGCTAAAACCAAGCTTGTTGATTTAACCTCTGGACAGTTGTTTGTTTTAGTCAAATTTGGGATCACGGTTTGGAAAATGTTATCTGTGTGCTGTTGCAGATCATGTAGAAATTGTGTGTTCCTTTGGCTGTCTAAAGCAGTGGTTCTCAACTTCCGCAATTTTAAGATGTCTGAACTTCAACTCCCAGAATTCCTCAGTCAGCCTGTTGGGTAAAGATTCTTGGAATTGAAATCCACACACATTTTAAAAAGTTGCCAACATTGGGAAACCCTGCTCTAAAGAGCTAGCTAGGAACTAGCAAATCTAGTGATGCTGAAGCCCCTACAGCCATGATGGCGAACCTATGGCACGGGTACCACAGGTGGGCACGCGAGCCATCACCCCAGTTCAGCTCCACCACGCGTGCGTGCACGCCTCCCACCAGTCAGCTGGTCGTCGGGTCTCTGCCGCACATGCACGGGGGTGGGGCCTGTGCAGGGGCACACAAGCATGCATGAGGGTGCATGCGGGGAGGGTAGTGCACATGTGGGGGCCATGAATGCATGCATGGGGCGGGGCGCATGTGCAGGGGTTGCATGCGCATTGCATTTTGGGGGTTTGGCCACTCGGTCCAGAAAAGGTTAGCCATCACTGCCCTACAGTATTTAACCTATTTTACTTGCAATGGTTTCTCTTTTTTTACTTCTAGCACTCCTGCCTCCTACCCTAGTAGGAAAAGAAATCACATCTTTTTACATATTATTAGGCTCTCCAGATTTACCGGTAGATGTTTGTGACAAATTGTCTTCATTGTAATATATCTAGTCAATTGTTAAAATAAGTCCTTTGATACATCCCATTAAATACTGTCAACTTCCAGCCACCCTACAAAATTGACTTTCTACGTAGCCGTGCCAGAAATCTGTATCTCTGTTCTGACCTTAGAAAGATAGCTAGTAACTTTAAAGCACATGTTGAAGACCATTTAGCCATTCCAGTGAGAATGTTATGTAGTTTTATTTCTCTTGCCTTTCTCGCTGTTTTAAGTTTCTAAACTTTTCAAATTGTATAGTAATAGTTTTGAGATCAGATTTTTGTACGGAAGGAAATGGAGTAGTTCTGCTTCCCGAACTACATTGGTTACATCGGTTTTCAGGTGCCCTTTTGGAGTTTAAGACTTGGTTCCCTCTCAGGACATCTTTCTCCAACCATTTCTACCAATCCAGTAAGAATTGATGACAGGTGTGCTCTGGGTCCTGTCCACAACCAGCCATCTTGTGGGACTTCACTACCACCGCTTCTGCTTTCTGGAATTAACATTCCCTGCAAGGATCAACCTGATAGTTTCTAGGAAATCACTAATAGTTTTCCTGTCAGACTCTGGATCAGACCATTTGTGACCTCACTTAAAAGGTTGTTACGGTAATTGACGTTTGAGTGAATTCACAATGTGCTATCCCTACATTTGACCCGGCACTGTTTTTAAGACATATGCTGCAGGAACTAACCAACTATATTTTAGGCTTCAGTCTGGTTAAACTCAGGCAGCATAGTTAGACTCTGTTTAGAACAGGGGTCTCCAACCTTGGCAACTTTAAGCCTGGCGGACTTCAACTCCCAGAATTCCCCAGCCAGCAAAGCTGAAGAGTTGAAGTCCACCATGCTTAAAAGTTGCCAAGGTTGGAGACCCCTGGTTTAGAACACTGTGTGAACTTTAGCATGCTTACTGAATTAACCTGGTTGCATGGCAAAAAAATAAATAAATGATTGGCTAATTTCTACCTCAGGATTAATAGGGTGTGCAAATAATTTCAAATGCATGTTCAAATTGCCCATTTTGAGTGGGAAACAGCTATTCTGGGCACCACTTGGACTCTCCCAATCACTTTGGAAGTATTTTGTACATCAACACTGTTCCGTATTCAAAATCCTGGAATACTTCCAAAATGATTAAATCAGCCCCTCTGACACAAAACAGCTGTTTCATTTTCACGAACTTGAAAAAGAACATTGCAAAGTCAACATGAATTTGAAACGTTTTGTGTATCCCTAACTTCTACTGTCTCTGGCATCTTAGGGATTGAATTTGGGTTCAGAGCATATGTTTCCACATCCAGGTTTTCAATCTGGTTAAGAGCTTTGTGTAAATTATGGCATGTTATCCTCAATGGGTCCAAACAGAAAACTCACAAAAGGAAAACCATAATTTGTTCTCACAATTTTTATTTAAATCATTTTGTATTTTTTTTCCAAGACGTATGAGTGACAAATTAAGAAGCATTCTTTACATTGTCCATTCTAATGTCATGCCTTTAATGACATTTTACTAGTGGAAAAAAATAAACTTAATAAAAAGAGGTTACAAGACTTAATGCAAGTTTTATGTCATTAATAAAATGACTAAATCAGAGTCTTATACATGAAACAGGAATATTTGAAAAAGCTTTAAAATACATCTAACAAAATATCTCATTTACTTCCCTGAAGTGGATCAGAAGGTCTGTTTCCTTAACTAAGGCTGAATCCAAGACCAAATTTGCACGCACCAAAACAGAGAAAGCTTTATAAACTTCAAATCTTTCAGGATTTACCCTGATAATACAATTATAGACATATTTACTCTAATGTAAAACTTGCTGAGTTCATCAGCCAGACTTTCTATTATTTTTTTTTCATATTACAGTTCCTGAAAAAGCAATTTTTGCAAGTATTCCAGCTTCAAAGCTATGGTGGGCTCAAATAAGACACTAGACTTCTAATCTGTAACCCACAATCTGATTACACATCACAAACCTTACAATGGCTTAGCACAATGTGTCAAACCCTGATCAATCCTGACAATATAAGGGGGTGATTTATTTCATCCCTGTGATATATTTCATCCTTAAATTGTGCTTCTATTTGGACTGGACTAGTTATGAATAAAACTGTTTCATAACCCAAAGATTATGGGGGTTGAAGTCCAAGATATCTGGAAGTTACTAGTGCAACCTTCCAGAAGAAAAAACAATGATATCATGAACATTGTTAAATTATCTCTGCCTCTGCCTTACTCAGCCCTCTTTACTGGATGCTCATAGAGAAAGCTTGACAAAACTGGTTTTCCAAACATTAATTTAATAAACATTAGCTGTGACATTTCACAAAGGAAGCTTTGGTTTTGTCAATTACCTCTATATTGTTTTTCTCTTTTTAAAATACTTTTATAGCCAACTTATCTGTTCTTCATTGTTCACATTCTAAATAAGGTAGCTTAAATCATATCCCACAACATACATCACAGCTAAATTCATATGATATCATTATGCAAAGATTATTAAATTACCCCAATTTTCTAAATTTGCATAACAAAAACTAATAATAAATTCTGGGTTCAGGCAATAAGCCCTGAATATTTTTTGGATCAGTATGTCACATAAACACAGTTACTGTTCACACATTACATTAAGCACTGATTTGTTGAGAAAATAGCTACGTTTGCATAACAAGGACAAGCTATCTTGGTTCATCATGCTGAATAAACCAAACCTTTATGTAAGGTGATCAAGTTCTATGTTATGTGGGTTGCTGCAATCAAGTTTACAGCCAAAATTAAGTTTTGAGGCCAAATGAAAAATCCTTCCCAAACACATTACTTCAGACATTGTGCTAATTTGACTAACCAAAATGAATGATAAAAGATTATAAAGTGCTTGTGTCGTCTTCTTCATTTTCCCAAGTACATAAAAACAAAGACTCCACCGAGTCAGTTTCGACACCTGCCAATTATGTGGCCAGGTCCATATTGTCGTCCTTGAAACAACGCAGAGGTGGTTCTCCATTGCCTAAAATGTTTTTCGAATCTAGTAAGCAATCTTAACTTTCTCTGATGGTCTCCTATCCAAGACTTTATCCTGGAACATTCCTTTAAGACAAAGGAGTATGTCTTTCATCTCAGTTCAGTTCAAGAACTGAGGTAGGAAGGAATGTTTTATAGTGTGATCATTCTCATCTTCATAAAAGCTTTCCACTCTAATGATGGGATTGGATGTTATTAAAAGGATCAGCAGTTGAACTTTGACCTAAATATCACAATATAGTTTTAGAAAAGCTGCATGATGTTACTTGTTGTTACTTGTTGTTAAGAGTGTATATATGCACATGACTTGTAACCTATTTGTAGAAACTTTTCTGTCAACTATTTAATAGTTAATAAAATATTCTAAGAATCCCCTACTTGGATTATAAGAAGTTTCTTGTCGTCATTGAGGGTGAATGTGTAGTTTGGCTTTGTCGATCTTCCAAGTAGGCAGCATCAAAAATCAGCATCTAAAGTAAATACCTTATTATTTGCTTGGGACATAACTGCAAAATGTTGATATTCTGAAACCCTCCTCTCAAAGAAATTGGTTTTTCCTTCCAGGGAAATGTTCTCCATGAAGTCAAAAGGGTTTTCTGCTTCAAAGACCTGAGAAAACCAAAGGTATCATTAAAACATAGGAACTGAATGAGGCACTGCAAGGACAAATCCATCTTTGATGATTGCTAGGGAGCATTTCCATTTAGCCTCCCACCCACCACCCACCCCCACATTTGGTTTCTTCCTCTTTGACTGATAAGGATGACCAGGAGAAAGCCAAAATATTTCAAGTTTTCTAAAAGCCTTCACTTCTGTAAAGATTGACAGATCTTTCCAATTTGCTTTTTACATTCACACCTTTTTTCAAACATTACCTGTTCTATCACATTTCCCTATCAGTTAGCATTTTCAAACAACACACAAAAATTCACTCTCTCTTCAAATGCACAAATATGTGTATGCTGTTGTGCACATTTATCTCTAAGCATTGGGGGCTACAGCTTGTTTATCTGCCCATCAGCAGGATATTTCTCCAAAAACTGAACAGAATAGATTCAAATCTGCTGGGAGCCAACAGATAAAGAGATGCAACATGTTCCTTCATTACAGTACAAAGGATAAATCAGATGCCTCTTATGGCCATAAATGGAAAGGGGTTGAACTACAAAAGCTGTGCTTTGTGCTATTTCCCAACCTTGATAAAAACTATTTTTAATTCCTTAGGCCAGACTTTTCAATAAAAGATACCGTTCAGTTGCCCTTCAGAATTCCCATGAAAAGTCATGGTGGCTGGGATTCCAAGCTGGTATCTCAGATACCTCAAGATACCAAGCTTGATATAGGCTATTGTGAAGTCTGGCTTTTCCATGTGTGGAAAATTGGGGTGTAAATGTTCTAAAATAAAATGCCGTTAAATTTATAAGTATGCAGTGAATTGCAAGAAAACATGATTGATAAAAAGAATAACCAACCTAAATACACATGCTACTCGTGCCCAAATACAGAACAAACCCCATTCTTCTTGCAAAACAAGAGTTCAGACCTACTTTGAAATAGATTTAGGAAAAGGTCTCTTCACAGGGCCAAAGTTCAATGCAAATACTTTAAGGTAAATTTAATTACTTTACCTTAGGGAAACCCAGTTCCAGCAGCAGCCTATCAGCCACAAATTCAATATACTGTTTCATCAGAGTACAATTCATGCCAATCAATCCCACAGGTAAGGCCTCTGTCAAAAACTCCTGCAATAGTAGAAAAAATGAAATTATTCAGAGTATTTTCCCAGTTTGATTCACATGTATAACATGAAGTTTATATATATATATAGTATATTGTTTTTTCCGTCGAAGCACCTGGTCTACCCCAATATGGGAGGGAGTATACTGCTTCCCTTTCGCCTTTCAGCTCCAATCCAGGAGCCCTCAAGGCAGTCGCTATCACAACAAACTATTTTGTATCAAATTTATATTTGCTGATAAAGAAATAAAGGGAGACTAGTATAGATCTATTTCAAGCTATTTAGCTCTCATTAGCTAGCCATACCCTTACTTGCATCCAAACTTGGGCTACCTGCATTAATAGGCAGTTGTATTAACCTCTGAGCCACAAGTTCTCCTCCCTTTATCAGCTGAGCCAGGGGAAAGATTAAGTGTTTTTTCTGTCAAAGCACCTGGTCTACTCCCATGTATATATATGAGGGCCACATCAGGGTTGTGTTTGACCTTGGGGCTGGGGTGTGTGGCCAGGGATGGCATGGCCAGCCCGACATCACTCGTCGAGGCTTCATTTATGGCTGCAATGGCCTCCTGAAGCCCTCTGCCAGTGAAAACAGAGCTCAGGGAGGCCGTCCGTGGCCTCCCCGGGCTCCATTTTCACTGGCAGAGGGCTGCAGGAGGCTGCCGTGGCTGAAAACGGAGCCTGGGAGGGCTGTGCACAGCCCTCCAAGCTCCATTTTCATTGACAGAGGCACCACGGGCTGGTCCTTCACTGTTTCGAGGGTGGCCTCATAGGCCAGATCTAAGCACCCCACGGGCCAGATTTGCCCCACAGGCCTTGAGTTTGACACCCGTGGTTTAGAATATTGTGTTAGCTCAGCCAATTGTGCCTCATTCAGCAATGACCTGACCTTCGTGCAATGCATTGAGCAATCACAGCAGCAAACCACAAGGGTATAAACCTTGGGTAGGGTGGTTGTTTGCATAAACACACTAAATCACAACTAGTCCACCACATTTTAACCTACAGGATTTATTAACCCAATTCAGATGGCCACATTAGGGTATGTATTATGCAAATTCAGAAAATTATAACTGAGTCCCTCATATTAAAAGTTCATCATAGGCCAAATGGGCTTATAAACATAGCCTACATTATTTTGTGGTTGATCAAAACTATGTCCAGGCAAAGGGGTCCGATCTCACCTTTTCAATTTCAACCGCATTGACAATGATCTCTTTCACCCTTCCCTCCAAAGGTTTATTCACTAAATGCTGAAAAATCAGGCAAGCAAAGTCACAGTGGAGCCCCTTAAAGAAATAAACAGGGCAGAAAAATAAGAAATTCATCTTTTTAAAAACAAACAAAACAGAATCAATTTTTTAATGTAAGAATTACTTTAAGCCTTTGCATCTTTTTTTAAAGTCAAAATAATCCACTAACAATGCATGTTAACAGCAACGATTTAAAATGTGTTTTAAAACTTAACATAAAATAAGATGTGCATTAATGAATTTTGTCTACATCTAAGATGTCTCCAGACATCTCTTGCCTAATTCACAAACTTGGTTTGCATACCCCTATTCCCTGCAAGTACAGTTTATGACATTTCTAATTCAGAAATCACATTTATTCCCCCTCAATATCTTAAATACAAGAATAGTATGTTGTGGACTGGGAAATACACACAACTCCTAAAAGTATTGGTAGAATTGGGAAATGTGTTTTCTCAAACTACAACATATTGCTATACTAAAAAAAAAGGGTAGCATTAACAATAATCTTGTTAAACAGCATTCTGTGGATTTTATTTCAGACTTTAATAATGTATGAATCATGATCATTTCCAAAACAGTAATAATCCCCACCAGTCAATTTCCAAAGGCAGCTTTACTTGGAAAGCTTACATCCTGCAACCATACTCTAAAACCATTAAAAGCATCTGCTTATCCCAGGTCCTTGGGAAGAACTGGCTAGACAGATAAAAGTGCCAAATCCAGTCTAAACATCTGAGTGACTATGCAACCAGACATAATAAATTACATTTGTAGAACTGTGCACTCTCCACAAATAAGAGTGTCTACAAACAATACTGCTTCTCTGAAAGCATCATATTTAACCTTATTGAAATATTTTTGCCCCACACCTTACTTCATCTCTGCTAATAAGTTCGTTGGAGAAAGTAAGGCCTGGCATTAACCCTCTCTTCTTGAGCCAAAATATGGCTGCAAAAGCACCAGAAAAGAAGATGCCTTCGACAGCAGCAAACGCAACCACTCTTTCACCTGTTTCAACAAAATCAAAATTTGTTATCAGACAATTAATGAACCTTCTTCAAATGGTAGAAAAGAATAAAATTCTTTTCCTATTTTACTCAGCCAAGGTGTGAAGTAAATGCATTTGGAGTACAGAAAGTGGGAAACACTGACAAAAACCATGACCGTTCCAAATCTTAATTAAGGTGCAATCTCACTAACAAGGAAATAGAATCTACTGTATCTTGTATAAATACTGTGGACATTGTCTCATCTGGCTTGTTTTGTTAATTCCAAAGAGATATTTCAGAAAACCTGTTAATTGCTTGATTTCCCCAGAGGAATAGCTTTAACACAGATACTTCTGGAATCAGCATATTCTTAAGAGGCTGATGTCAACTTCTAGGATGTAGAGTAGATCAAAGAAATATATGTAAATATAGACTCTACTGGAATGGCAAAGGTTTATTTCACTGAGGGAAAATTATTTAACTGCAAAGTGGGCCAGGTTCAGAAGGTAAGAAGCCAGCTGCTGGACTTAATTGTTTGACTATCTATCTATCTATCTATCTATTTTGACTAGATAGATAGATAGATAGATAGATAGATAGATAGATAGATGATAGATAGATAGATAGATAGATAGACAGACAGACAGACAGACAGACAGACAGACAGACAGACAGACAGATTCCATATTTTTCGGAGTATAAGACACACCGGAGTATAAGACGCACCTTAGTTTTTGGGGAGGAAAATAAGAAAAAAGCAGATTGGCAGGTGGATCGGCCTCTGGAATACCCCCAATCAGCTGTCCCCAGAAGTGAATTTGAGCTCTGTGTCTTGCTTTTTTTTCTGTCTCTGAAAGCCTCCGCAACAGAGCTTCAGAAAAAAAAGCCTCTGAAGCTCTGTTTGGGGGCTTTTTTTTCTGAAGCTCTGTTTGGGGGCTTCTTTTCTCAAGCTTTGTTTCTGATGCTTATTTCAGCCTCTGAAACCTCCGTTTGAGAAGCTGGGCGGGGCTACATTCAGAGTATAAGATGCACCCAGATTTTCACCTTTTGGGGGTAAAAAGGTGCGTCTTATACTCCGAAAAATATGATAGATAGATAGATAGATAGATAGATAGATAGATAGATAGATAGATATATCAGGGAGTCAAACAATTAAGTCCAGGAGCTGGCTTCTCACCTTCTGAACCTGGCCCACTTTGCAGATTAAAAGAGTAAGATCCTTCCAGTTATTAGGCCATTTTAAGACTTTTCAAACAAGGACAGCAAAGGGAGAAATGAAACCTCTGTTCACACAACACACCTACCCATGACTAATTGAACTACTGTTTATTCAGTTAACCCAATGAATAACACATACAATGGAGGCACCTACCAAAAGTGGCTTCTCTGTCTGTTATCCACCTCATCGCCCAATCTGCTTTCTTCCTGACACATGGCATTGTTTCAATAGCATTAAATAAAAAGTCCCTGAGAGGATAGGGAAGGAGGGAAGAGGAATGGAGGAAAAGCAAAAGACTGTAAATCTGGGTAGCGGGACTGACATAAAAGCATAGATCACTTGCTGTGACAAATTAATTTACATCCAAGGATAGCATGGATGCGTTTAACATTGCACCTTATTTCTCTCAGATATAGAATCTTCTGAAAGTACACCAGCATAGGCTAGAAATCTCTTCTGCAGTTTGAACAAAAATTGCCACATCTGTTAAATGAATCACTGCAGTTGTTATATTAGTAACACGGTTGTTAAGTGAATCTGGTTTCCTCACTGACTGTGTCAGAAAGTCACAAAAGGGGATCATATGACTCCAGGACTCTGCAACTGTCATAAATGTGAGTCAGTTGTCAAGCATCTGAATTTAAATCATATGACCACGGAAAAGTCACAATGGACATAAGCGTGAATAACGGTCATAAGTCATTTTTTTCAGTGCTGATGTAACTTTGAACAGGTCACTAAATGAACTGTTGTAAATTGAGGATTACCTGTATAAACATAATAAAGATAGGACAGAAATAAAATTTAAAAAGTTACAGCAAATACTGATTTTTCCTAAAATCAAGCAAAAACTCTCCCTTATAAACGTTAAAATTAATACCAACTTCCACTCATATGTCCTTGCAATGTTAAACCACGGTCCCCCATTACACCTAGACCAGACTGTACATGAAAATTACAAACGAAGAAATGTGTAAGTCCTCTACATAGCGGTAATACTTACACTAATTACCTTTTCTCGGGGTCTTTGATGTAAGTGTCTATTAACAAACTGTACATCTCAGAATGAACATTTTCTATTGATATTTGGAAGCCATAGAAACAGCGAGCTTCTGGGATCTGCACTTCTTGGCTAAAACGTTCTACCTGTCAACAAAAGAAGTCAGATATCGAAATGTTCATGTAAGATCAGGTTCACACACTGCACTAAGCCATAATGTCTTATGTAAATGACTATTTTCTTCCAAAAGAGCATCTCTGGCAGAGGTGGGTTTCAGCAGGTTCTGACCACCTCTGGAGAACCGGTAGCAGAAATTTTGAGTAGTTCGGAGAACCGGTAGTAAAAATTCTGACTGGCCCCGCTCCTATCTATTCTCTGCCTCCCAATTCCCAGCTGATTGGGAGGAAATAGGGAATTTGCAGTAACCTTCACCTGGAGTGGGGTGGGAATGGAGATTTTATGGTATCTTTCCCCTGCCATACCCAAGCCATGCCCACCAAGACATGCCACACCCACCAAGCCACACCCACAGAACCGGTAGTAAAAAAATTTGAAACCCACCACTGATCTCTGGGTATAATGAATATGATATACACATATAGGATTCCCAAGAAAAAGCAATTGAAAGTCAGTGTGATTAGTACAAACTTCATTAAAAGTAAGTACTTAATAGTATTTACAATGCTCCTTATGATGGACAACAAATACATGCAAAGTACAATTACAAACAGATGTTTGATTGCATGCAATGAAAAAGAAACACAGCATCAAAGTATTACAGGTACATCACAGGAAGCATCTCACCAAGTTTTCATTGACAATTCCATCACTGGCAGCAAAAAAAGCTAGGATATGCGAAATAAAGTATTTTTCTTCTGGTTTTAGACTGTTCCAATGAGTAAGATCCTTTGACAAGTCAACCTATACAAATAGAAAAAAGAAATACAGATTACACACTTGAAATCATCATTGTTTACTGATAATTCTGAAAAGCAAAATAAATATTTAAGAGAATATACCCTATAACTTCAAAGAGGGGAATTTATTATTTATTTATTTATTTAATTTATATACCGTCCTTCTCCCAGAAGGACTCAGGGCGGTGTACAGCCAAAATAAAACACACAGATATAAAATTTAAAAAACAATTTAAGAAATATTAAATAATTTGGCCCATATCTAATTAAAATAAAACTACCCATTTTGGACATTTAAAAGTTAAAAGTTAACGACTAAAAATTTAAAAATTAGGCCAGCCCGGTTTGTTGGAATAAAAGCATCTTGAGGGCATACATGGGAGGGGGGGCATTTTTGATAAAGTTGGTAGCTGCAACCTCACCAAAGCCCTATTCTTTTTCCATATCTTGTAATATACATTAAAAAGGGTGGGGTTCTATCATACAGCTCTTCCTGCCATCTTGACTTTCTTTTGATTGCCTTTGCAGATTCTCCTGGCTTCTAACCAACTTTTCCCTGGTGGTGTCTTGTAATGTAATGGATTATTATTAAATGTAATGGATTATTATTACCCTCACCATCCTCTGCCAGGATGGGTCTGTGGATAATTGGGAGTTGTAGCCTAATCATCTGGTGGTTACCTGGTGAGTAGACACTAGTTTACTAGAAATTCTCTGCCTAAGTTTACACATTAAAAAGGTAAAAGTAAAGGTTCCCCTCGCACATATGTGCTAGTTGTTCCCGACTCTAGGGGGCAGTGCTCATCTCCGTTTCAAAGCTGAAGAGCCAGCGCTGTCCGAAGACGCCTCCGTGGTCATGGGGCCAGCATGACTAAACGCCAAAGGTACACGCAACGCTGTTACCTTCCCACCAAAGGTGGTCCCTATTTTTCTACTTGCATATTTTATGTACTTTCGAACTGCTAGGTTGGCAGAAGCTGGGACAAGTAACGGGAGCTCACCCCGTTACGGGACATTAGGGATTCGAACCGCTGAACTGCCAACCTTTCAATCAACAAGCTCAGCGTCTTAGCACTGAGCCACCATGTCCCTTTTACATATAGGTTGCCACAAACGGAGAGGGAAAGACACTGAAAACACATACAGCTCATTGTATGATTTATTACAGAAATCCTTCTATCCCCGAACAATACCAGAAAACAAAAACAAATAAACAAACCCCTTGATCATTTCATTGCTCATGCAAGTAGGCAGTGCATTTGTTGGTTTGTTTGCAATGGTGACTGCCTTTTTGTAACAGGAACTGATACTTTCTTAAAAGCAACTTAACCAAAATGTAAGGAAAGTATGTAAATTAGAATACCAGATTAGTGAACAGAATTTCTTCTGCACCTTTGCTTCTCTCTCTTGGCTGCCTTATGGTCTAAATATATCAAGGACTTTTCAGTTGTTAGATCTTGAGGGATCTATTGCAGGGTTTGAGTTTCACCATATGGACCAAGGCAAGGTGCAAAGTCACTTTTCTGCCAAGATGGAAATAAAAGGATTTCCTATGCTCTGGGTAGAAATCTGTGATGGCTACTAGAATCTGATCATATTCTTTCCACAAAAAACCTCTTTCACTCTGTTATTCAGCCATTTTCATGTTGCTAACTCTGTTGCTAGTGTTAGGCTAGGGGTGAATAATCCATATGTAGCTTTCCAAATCTCATCTGCAATGCCCAGAAAAGTAAGGGTTGAACACTTCAAGCCTTTATTTTTTTCCCCAAATTTTTATTTTTATTTTTCAAAACACAAAACATAAAATACATCTTTTTAGAACAGATGCTTGTTCCGTCATATAGTAAGTACAATTATTAAGATTCCCACAATCAATTTTGTTCCCATTTTTATCCAATTACATTTTTTTAAAAAGAAAAAAGAAAAAAAAGAAAAAAAATCTTATTCTAAACATTTATCATTCAATTATTTCGCCCAACATTCTAGACTATAAACACCATTCTAAATCTCTATCATTTTAACAATCAATATTTCATATACATTTCTCAATTTAAGACCCATTACACCAAATCTATATTTCACCTCTTCTTGATCACAACTAATATCCAAATCTTATCAAAAATTTATTTCCCTTTTCTCTTAGAATTTTTACAAAATCAATCAACATTTCACTCTGTAGTTTATTACTTCCAAAGTATTTTATTTTGATTTAGTTACTCCATAGTTATTCTCTTATACTATTAAAATTATTTTGGCTAATTCATAGTTTATATAACTCCAATCTGATTATTTAACTGGTTCACAGTTATATTATTATTCTCCTGTAAAGTTTCTTCCACTTCCTCCTAATTTTATTTTTTAGCTGGTTCACATCTTGATCTGCTGCTTTCCAGCAAGACTTACCTCCACTCCTGACCTTAAATTATTTTGGCTGGTTCACAGTATGATTTTAACTACACACCAACCTTATCGCCTTTACTCCTCCTATATTTATTTTATAACTGGTTTGCAACTTAAATAGTTGCTTTCCAGCAGTGCTTTCCTCCGCTCCCACCTTTATTTTTAACTGGTTCACAACTATATTTCAATTGTTCCCCAGGTATAGTCTCCTCCACTCCTAACTTTATATTTTTTGGCTAGTTCACAGTTTAGCTTTAGCTGTTACCCAATATATGCTTTCCTCCACTCCTAATCTATATATTAATTGGTTCGCAGCTTCTAGTGCATATTTTCCTACGCTCCTACCCCTATTTTTAACTGGTTCACAATTATATTTCAATTGATCCCCAGATATAGTCTCCTCCACTCCTACCTTTTTATTTTTAACTGGTTCACAGTTCATATAAACTGTTACCCAGCGTATGCTTTCCTCCACTCCTAACTCTGGTCCACAGCGTTGCTTTAACTGTTTTCCAGCTCACGCTTTTCTCCACTCCTAATTCTTATTTTAATTTTTAACTAATTCCAAGCTTTGTTTCAACTGTTTTCTAATATAATACCTTCCTCCACTCCTACCATATTTATTAACCTGGAGCAAAACTCTACTTTAGCTAATTTCCAAAAGCATATTTCACATTACTCCTAGTTTCACATATTTAATTGATTGATAACATTTTGTTTTAATTATTATCTTGCTTGCATTTTCCTCCCTTCCAACTTCTCTTATTCAATTTGTTAGCTTCAAATTACTTCACTATATATTACCCATATTGTTTTTCCATTTATTCTCCTCCATATTTCTAATTTAAAATAAATATATATTTTAACAAATATCTTCCAATGTCTTAAAAAACCTTTTCTTCTAAATTGTTGAATCTATGGAAAATTCAAAGTTTAAGAAAAAGTTAGAGCCTCCAGAGATCGTATTTTTCTTAAATCATTTGTGCTCTTATTTCTTAATCAAATTATTTGTGTATTTATATATATTTATTAAAACAAGGTGGTGATAGTAATAACAAGGAAAATAATAACAATAGTAATTACAATAAAAAAAAATAAGGAAGTAATAGAGACCTCAGTAAAAAGGGAGTTTAAAAATAACAAAAAAAAAAGAATTAAACATTATTAGAAAGAAAAAAGAGAAAAAAATAGAGAGGGAAGAAAAAAAAGCAGATGAGAGAAAGAATAAAACAAAGAGAAAAAAGAAAGATAAGAAATAGAAAGAAAGCATGGAGAAGAAAGAAAAGTATCTCTTAACATTAATCATTCACCCAATAACCATTACATTCATTTGGATCAAAATGTGATATTTTGTTAACTTGTTACTTGATTTATTCCATTGTTTTTTTTTTCTCCAATCTGTCCAAATGTATTTCTTTTCCCTTTCATTGTCATCAAAGTTATAGGTTCTGCAAAGTTAGTTCTGGAACTATTCCATATATGGTATCATCATGTCTTCCTTTTGTTGCCACACCTTTCTCTTATAATCACTTTTATTTAGTTCAGTTTCCATTATTCCATTTAATTTCTTCTTTCAAATCTTCCATAAGTCCTCCAATGAACAGATTACGTATCAGAAACCAAGGTCTCTAAGTCTTTTCTCAGTATCAATTCAGTACAAGTAACAAGCAACATAGTTTTTCTTTTCAATTAACAAATAGTCTGGGATTCAGAGCTAGCAGCCATTTTCTCCATCACCATTTGTCTTTTGTCTTTACTTTTAAAACATAGTTGTTTCCTTTTCTCCTTCCTCTCTCCCGGATATAATCCAGTCTCACTCCACAAAATTTTATGCTGCAATGATAAGCCAAGCTTTGCAATCCCAACTCCCAGATCTTAAAGCATTTGGAGAAACCAAGTCAAACCCACCTTTATACCATGGCATACGGCCTAGCTATCTTCGAGACCGGCTGCTGCTACCAACAACCTCCCATCGACCCGTGCGCTCCCACAGAGGGGACCTCCTCAGGGTGCCATCAGCCAAACAATGTAGGCTGGTGACCCCCAGGGGAGAGCCTTCTCTGTGGGGGCACTTACCCTCTGGAATCAGTTGCCCCCAGAGATAAGGAGAATCCAAGACCTCAGTGCCTTCCGCCATGCCCTTAAAACCCACTTTTTCCAGCAAGCAGGGCTGGTTTAAGAAGAAATTTTAAAATTTTTAAAATGTTTTAATTGGTTTGTGATTTTTAAATTTTTGGGCCAAATTTATATATATTTTAATTGTTCTTAATATTTGTAGTTCATGTTCTTAATTCTGGCTGTGCACCGCCCTGAGTCCTTAGGGAGAAGGGCGGTATATAAATTGAAAAATAAAATAATAAATAAATAATACCACTTTTGTAACTATGAAGGTATACAGGTAGTCTTCGACTTATGACCACAATTGAGCCCCAATTTTCTGTTGTTAAGTGAGACATTTGTTAAATGAGTTTTGCCCCATTTTATAACATTTCTTGCCACAGTTGTTCAGTGAATCACTGCAGTTGATAAAATAGTAACCTGCTTGTTAAGTGAATCTGCTTTCCCCATTGACTTTCCTTGTCAGAAGAGTGCAAAAGGGAGATCCCGTGACTCCAGGACGCTGCAATGGTGGTAAGTATGAACCAGTTACCAAGCATCTGATCACATGCTCCTGGAGTGGAGATGCTGCAAAGGCTGAAACTCTGAAAAACTGTCATAAGTTACTTTTTTCAATGCTGTTGTAACTTCGAATGGTCACTGTTGTAAGTCGAGGACTACCTGTACCGAACTTGATCAGACACCTATACAATTATGATGCCCGTAAAAACAAGATCAAAAACCATTAAATGCTTTAAAGAACTATAAAATGACAACTTTTATAAAACCGAGCCGAAGGAAGCCTAATTGGACCATGCAGAGAGGATCTCTAAGAAGGAGAGGAAACCCCAGAAACGCCTGTCACAACTCCTCACAGGTGTTGTTAAGGCGGGTCCAGAGGTGGGTTTCAGCAACTTCTGACCAGTTCTGTAGAACCGGTAGCGGAAATTTTGAGTAGTTTGGAAAACCGGTAAATACCACTGACTGGCCCCGGGCTCCATCTATTCTCTGCCTCCCAAATCCCTGCTGATCGAGAGGAAATGGGGATTTTGCAGTAACCTTCCCCTGAAGTGGGGAGGGAATGGAGATTTTACAGTATCCTTCCACTGCCACGCCCACAAAGCCACGCCACACAGAACAGGTAGTTTTTAAAAAATTGAATCCCACCACTGGGCAGTTCCCCCATGGTGCATTCAGAAGTGCCAGAGTGATCGTAGATTGGATCTCCCAAGAAAAAGGGGCAATCCCACCGCAGCGATAGCCCCGCCTGACCCGATGCGCCTTACGCCGCGTCCTCCAAAACAGGGGTCTCCAAGCTTGGCAACTTTAAGACTTGTGGACTTCAACTCCCAGAATTCCTCAGCCAGCAAAGCTGCCTGAGGAATTCTGGGAGTTGAAGTCCACAAGTCTTAAAGTTGCCAAGCTTGAGGACCCCCGTTTGCCTTCTGTTAGGCCCGACGGCGTCGCTCCGCCCGCTTACCTCGCTGCTTTCCGGCCTAGCCGGCCCGTACGATCCAGGGCAACAGCCGCGAGGCTCGTTCATGGCTCCTGGCCCCGCTCCTCCCGGCGCCCTAGAAGCCAGCGAGGGAGAAGGGAGGCCTGCCTGACCTTGGTCTCCTTCTCCGCCTCCTCCCGGGGCGGGACTGCGGGCAGCTGAGAAGGGCAAGGCGGGAACAACGCCGAAGATCCCGAAAGTAGAGTCGAACGAGGCTTATTCGCCAGGCACCTTCCTTCGCTTCGGTCTGCGGAAATCGTCCACACGCTTTCGTCTCCGCGTGTGGCGCCGTCCCGTGTTTTGTCGCGCAGCGCCTCGGGTTGATATCCTGTGGTCGGGAGGAAGCACGCGGATGCCTGCAGTGTTGGGGATTGTTGTTAATGTAGTAGTGGCGGGGGCGGGGGGGCGACCTTGCAAAATGGCTGGAGGGGGGGGGGGGGGGCTGCTATTCATAAAATGGCTGCCAGAAGCCCGTAAGCAGATACAAAATAAATAATGCTTTATCAGCATCCTGCTTGATCCTCCTTGTGCCTCTTCCAAAAATGACCTTTTAAAACAGTGTTTCTCAACCTTGGAAGCTTGAAGATCGGTGGACTTCAACTCCCAGAATCCCCCAGCCATCAACGCTGGCTGGGGGATTCTGGAAGTTGAAGTCCACCCATCTTCAAGCTTCCAAGGTTGAGAAACACTGTTTTAAAAGAAGGGGGTATTGGTGGCCCAGACCTGTTCTTGCAAATCAAGATGATGCTGGAATCTTTGCTTCCACTTGTATTTGTGGCCGCCGTTGCATTTGATTTGAAACTTTTTAAATGTAAAAAGGTGAGAGGGCAGGGACCTAGAGGGAGAGACTCATGTTGGTGTCCAGAAGCATTGCACTGGAGGTGGGCTTCACTAGCAGCAACAAAAGATACATGGAGTCACCAGTCCCATTGCAAAGTCTTAAATCTTTCATGTCAAACAGCAGAAAGTCTTGGCTTGACCATGAGGCTCAGACAGCTGGTTTAGGATTTTGAAAAATGATATAAAATGTTTCTATACTACTGTGTTTTTCTTGCCAGAGAGTGTATCTGGGATTTACCACTTCAACTATACAATAAGTAAGATACAAATGTGCCTCCAAATACTGTTTGCTGGGAAACATCAGGCTTACTTATCTCATAGTGGTTTATGCAGTTTTTCCACTATTGGAAAAGGCAGATGATGTCTGTTAGGAAATTTCCCATTGGATCTGGAATGCTGTGAATTCTTGGGTCATGGATCATAAACTCATTATACAAGGTGGGAAGTAGTATTTGCAAACACTTAAGAATCATCCAAAAGTTTCACTAAAATTTAAATCATTTATTTAAACCAGAGTATTTTTGCTGTGCATTGTATATGTCTTGAAATATCTGACGGTATACTGTTGCAATGACAACGCTTGTCTGTTGTGTTCTATTCCTTCTGTAGAGTTCAATATGTACAACTAATCCAGCACAGCTATATTTCTGTGTATGGAAAGTATGGTCTGCCACTGCATTAATTTCCTTCCCTATCATTTACCTAATAATGTCTTACTTTTTACAAAAAGTAAACAAAGGTGAAGGGCATAGGGAGGGACCTTGAAGGACACGAGGAAGAGCCACTGTTGAGGCAAAAATGAAACAAATGTGGCATATCCCATTCCAATAAATAAATAAAATTATAAATGTATTTGAGCAAACATCTCAAATGGAATTCTTTCTAATTCACATAAAGGATAAAGTGAGGAATGGGGGAAGCACATTTGGACTTGAAAGATTATGATACTTATAAGGGTTACAATAAAGATAATTAGCTCTGTATGGCATTGGTTTCTTAGTCTGATCTACCTTATAAGTAGTTCATGAAATCATCAGATCATAAAATACATGCACATGATGTAAGATTTATATATTCCCTTAAAACAGCAATTAAAATAAATTGCAACAAATAAAATCTATAAAAGCATGTTGTTATTTCTTTAAAATGTAGACAGTAAGAAGGGTAGTTTTGAAAGAGAGGGAAGTTATTCCTTACCAAAGCAGTGAGAAGTAAAAAGACTTAAGTCTAAACAAAGGAAGAATGTGAAAATGTCTTTTGGCAGGTTTCATGCTTTGATATCTTGCTCTGTGATAAGCAAAGAATATGCACCTGAATCTCTTTCAATTGAAGATCCTGGGAAGGAAAGAAGTTTCAAAGGAAGTTTACCAAGATGTGCAGACTTTTTCTTCTCCTAGGTATGGCAGTTGGTATGATGGGGGTTGAGATGAGCCATTTGATATGGGAAATGCACCAGGCTAGAAACCTGGAGTTTGTAGTTCTTGTTCTACATTAAGCCTAAAGCAGCTGGTAGCCTTGGGTCAGTCCTAGGAAGCAGGCAATGACAAGCCACTTCTGAAATTTTGCCAAAAATACTGCAGGGACTAGTCCAGGAAGTCAGCAGAAGGCACCCCAAAAAAAGTTTAGATGTTACTTCTCAAATAGAGATTTTAGTGCAATCCTATGTGTATTTGCTCTGGTCAGTTTCTGCTGTGTTTCTAAGTGTCGCTTCCTAAAAGTGTATCTGGAATTTGCTCCTGAGAGTGATACTCAGCCATTTAGATGCTGTTAAAGGGGAATTGGAAAAGTTGAGGGACAACTAGACTATCAGCTGCTATTAATCTTGATGACTGTTTAACTGCCTGGTCTCAAAAGGCCTTTAAATACAGCTACCAGCAAATAATAATAGGAAAAACAGATCATATTTGCTTCTGAGTTCTGAATACATTTGTCTATTGGATATGACAGGGAACACATTCTATGGTGCTCAGTCATCACGACATGGTGCAGGGCTGAATGGATACGGCTTTTTTAGAATTGGGATTTTTCTAATGCAAATCGGTATTTATCTCAATTTATTTTATAGGGCAACTGGATTTTAAATTAAATTTTAAAAAATCCTGTGCAATTGTCCTGTGTTGTGGGCCACCAGCGGCCAGCAAGCTGGCAGCAGAGTCAGACCGTGAGGAGGTTGGGGAGGAATTTGGGCTAATCCTGGGGGCTGGGGAAAGCTCAAATGAGGGCTTTGCATAGGAGGCAGAGATGGGGCCAAGGACATCTGATAGTTATGTGCAGCCTCCAGAGTCTGACAGTAGCAAGGCAGAACAACAGTGGGAGCCTGTTCCCAGTGTGCAGATGTGCAGAGCTGCCAGAAGACGAGAACAATTAAGAAAACAGGGTTGACTTGGGAGTAAGGCTTGGAGATGATTGGCCTCTCCCATAAGACATAAAAGAAGCGAATGGGACGTGAGTTTTTGCAGGAAGCAATTAGTTCATCTGGCTGATTCAAGATTTGAAAATTCTGTTCATGACTCTGTGCCAAGTTTGGCCTTGCCCTGTGCCTGGAAATTAGCTCTCTGGCAGTGTTCCATGTGAGATAGGTGGGTGTTGGTAACCTTCCTCTGAAAGACTGTTTATCAAGCCTTGCGGACTGTAAATGAAAGTAATTTACAGTCGTATAAATAAGAGGTTTTGCAGGACTAAGATTGTGCTTTAAACTTTCTAAGGAAGCCTAGGTCAAAACATCCTGTACCTTTCATAATCTTCCTCCCCCCAACATGTATGCATGTGAAACAGTATACGTGTGCCAGAAGTCCCAAAACAGGTTGAGGCTAGATTAAAAATTAGTATTGAGTAATTGCAGATTGCATGATTATCTCCATTTTATCCCTATCAAAACCATCCTGTAAGGTTGGTTGGGTTGAGCAAGTGACTCTCCCAGTTATTCAATAAATTTCTAGGAGGGATTTAAGCCTAGATGTCTCCAATCTTGGTCCGAACAGCTTCAATCTCTACATCACACTGAATGAGAGCCCAGACATAGGCACGTCTTCAAACATCCTGACATACTTAGAAGAGAAAAAAAAAGAGCTTTCCTTATTATCCAGAAGAAAAGACAGCTCTGTAAAACAGTTGTAGCCTTACAGACAAAAACCTTTTCTTATTGTAAAGAAACATAGCATGCAAAAAACTATAACTGTAAAAAGTATGTCTCTATTGCTACAATTAAGTGCTTTCAGAGGCTTAAACACCTTATTTTGCTTATCTGGTCAGTCTATTTCTATTTGGATTCCTTGGAAAATTGGGAGTAAAGCATTTATTTTTATCAGACTAAAAAAACTATTTGAACTAAGTAAAATAGATGGGCTAATGATGACATGAAGTAAGTGAGGCTAGTTTTAAAGACTATTAATAGGTACAGTTCAATTAAGATATAACCACTAAACCAGGGGTGAAATCCAGCAGGTTCTGACAGGTTCTGAAGAACCGGTAGTGGAAATTTTGAGCAGTTCAGAGAACCAGCAATTACCACCTCTGGCTGGCCCCGAGTTGGATGGGAATGGAGATTTTACAATATCCTTCCCCTGCCACGCCCACCAAGCCATGCCCACAGAACTGGTAGTAAAAAAATTTGGATCTCACCACTGCACTAAACTAACTAGGAATTGGAAACCCTAACACAAATTTCATCAGCAATAACATGCTTTTTTAGTGGCTAGCCTGCTGCTTGAACAATTCAAGTATTGGTTTACTTATAAAGCATAACAAAATTTAGGATATAGTGTCTAAAGGATTACCTACAAACTAGTTTGATGGCTGATCTTCAGCTGCCTTCATCTTCTGAAATTTTAACTGGAACAAGTGGCAGCACTCATGCTATCTCTGACAGTTTTACATGTATGCCATGCTAAACGTATACATAGTGCTAAAAACCAGATTCAAGAAGACTTTTTAATTGTTCATAAATCTGCATAGGTTTCACCATTTCATATTTTGTTCTTGCAAAAATAAAAAGCTGTGGTGCTAATTAACAGATGTACAGAATAACCTTGAGTTGTCTTCTCAAATTAACATTAATCCAAAAGGCTAAAATGTGGGCAATATAAAGTAAGCAATTCTGCATGTACCATAATTTTTTGGGACACATATCATTTCTTGTACTTATTTGGGTTGATTTCATAGTTGGTGATTACCCAGTTACCAAAATACATCTTGTTACAAGACTGAGG